CTTAGGTTATAGAAGTGTGTAATAAGACTTTGGGCCTACTGCTGGGCTCTGGCCTTTTAAGGGGATAAACCTGACCACATATAATATTAATCAAATGTAAATGTGACTCATTACGTATGTAACCAACCATGTAACAGTGATCCGAAGAATTTCCAGGGCAGTTTGGGGAAGAGAGGTTTACATATAATATATAATTATCAGTTGGCCATATAACAGTCCCCTTATAATTAATTGGCATGGGAATTTTACTGATACGATAAATGCTTTCATTTACAGTATTTACAGTATGCCATTATAACTAATACTGATGTAATGTGATAAATATTGACCGAAATGTTTATTGCCCTCAAACATATATAACGATTGTGTGGTAATAATCATAATATAACATTGGTACTTCTTGTATGTGTATCATTCACTCCCAACAACAAATATCATAAAAAAGGAATGTGGTCTGTAATGTGTTGCATTACATAATGCAATTAATCCATGTAAACAGTGCAGCAAAACAGCGCTTGACTTTCGGGATGCAGAGCATGGTTCGTGATTTCAGATCTTCTCCAGAAGCTTCCTGCACAGTGCACATGTAGAGTGAGGAAAGTAGAGGGAGACTGAACTGTATTTGCATTATATTAATGTTTGCATGCACTGCTGTGCCCTGTTTACATACTAGTTTACAGTCATTATTGTGTTACACTTCAACATCTCTTACATCATTATACTTATTATACTGTGGGCACCACTTCTTTATTTATTGTTGTCTTTTGTATTTGGCTTGTGCAACAATTCCTTTTCCTATTACCAGCTGTGTGCTTTTATTTATATTCAGATTTTTATATGTAGGTGCATGCTTCAATATGCTATATATGAAAAAAATCTCTGCTTTATGCTGTGTGAGTCAGGTGCTCTTTGGGAAAAATTCGGTGAGGAGAAAGAGAGAAAAAAAAGAGATAAAACACTTCAAACCAAGAAGATATTTAAATTAAAATGTCTTTATTGTATTGATGTCCTTGCTGGACTGTGAATAAATGACCATGTATAGTGCCCTGAAGAAAGCACGAGCCTGCGCATGGGCATTTTTTAAGAGACCAGCTAGGACATCAGTACAATAAAGACATTGTAATTTGAGGGACGCTTTGGATTAGAGAATTTTTTCTCTCTTTTCCTCATCAAATTTCACAGAATTTTTGAATGGCCTGTATTCCGAATACACATGACAATGAACAAATCTTGATTCTCTTGAATCAACAGTCACTTAAGGCTCTGGAGCCACCAGGGGGCTCTGGTGAGCATTTCTTTTAGTCAAAAAAGGGGCATTTTTTCTTCTTTTCATTCTTACACACAAAATAATATGATTAGGATTGGGGTCTCCCAAATGGCTCCCACATGTTCAGAAACAGCCCTGTTTACATTGTTTGTTGTCTGTTGTGGATGCTACTAAAGTTGTTAATAATGCACAGAATCATATCATATCAGTGTCAGCAGATAATGGAAAAAATGATATATTAGATATTAGCGTCGGCCCACATCAATGCATCCGTAGTTGCTGTGTGGCAAGTAAAGAATCAGGAATCTTAAAAATTGCTGTATTAAAACTCAGACTGATCCATAGAGTAGGCATATAGAGGTGGAGACAGGACTCTGCATAATCAACTTTAACAAGAAAGATCAAAGCAGCCAAAAGGAGCTTCTCAAGTCAGCTTTCAGCCAACGACCCACAGGCTACAAGGCATCACCAGCTGCAAGAAGCCATCTCCCCACACAATGGGCGATCGTCAGCTGGCTGATGAGCTGAATGGACCTACAGCTGGGCTGAATCACACGTCACCTTCTTAAATTCACACCCCCCACATACACAAAGGCACAAAATACAACAGCACCCCTTCCCCCAACTCTGACTGCCACTCAGCCAGCCAGCCTGTTTCACCCTCCTGTCTGAGGGTTTGTACTGACCTATTTGCATATATAGATTTTTTACAGATCTTCAACAGATGGCTAGGCAGATCATGCGAGCGCACCTCTGTTTAGAGGCCCACTGTGTCCTCAGGTCTTTATATGATACATCATACATTGAGACAAGACTTTAAAGGAGAATCCCCCCGATTTTTTTAAAAATTTTTGCATTATTAAATGGCTAAGATGTAAACAGAGTCGTTCAGAGTGGTTTGGTGTAAAATGCTCTGTTCTAGAAAAAACGTACAGACTTGGAATTGTTCACAGTGGTGGTGATGGGAACCAGAGGTCCACCTATAAAAGTTTCCTTACAGAAAGTTATTACATGAAATGGTTATGAATTCACTGCCTGATACATTGTTTTATGAAAGTTTGGAGAAGGTAAGGCCTAAAATCTTTTTTGGTAATCATTTTACCAACATTAGCATTACGTATCATAAGAACTTAGAAGACACATGTAGATTCACTGGTGGTTTTGGATAGTAAATAAAATGCTTATATTTGTGATGTAGTCATGGTGACCCCTGGTTCCTATCACCACCACTGTAAAGTAATCTGAGTTTGTAAGTTTCACATCAAACCACTCTGAATGACTCTGTTTACATCCCAATAACTGAATTATACTAAACACTTGAAAAAAGGAAGGAATTCTCCTTTACAGAAATCTATGAAAGGGTTGTAAACTGAAAAAAATAACATCTAAGCAAATGAAAACATCTTAAACCTAGCCCATTTATCAAATATTTAACATCATGAGATTGTTATGAGAATAAGATTCTTAAACTTATTTCTATACATTTTTATTTATTTTGGGTAATTTTATAAAGTGAAAATTTTACTTCTTTCGAGAAATAACATTGCTCTTTTCAAGGATTAATATTTGTAAGAGATAAAATGATGCCAATGGAACAAGACACTTTTTAAAGTAAAAGTGTATAAAAAGAGGTTTTTTGACTAGATTTAAAATGTTTTCACTTGCTTAAACATCATTTTTGCAGGGTAAGGTTGTGGTTCTGGTCTTTGGGTGAACTAAGGTGCTACAGGGAAGCAGATTTGTCAATACGAATGCTTCTCAGGGAAGCTAATTAGCTACCATAAGTCTTGTTTGTGAAAATGACGATATCTTGGCAAATACCGCTCATAAAGAACTTGAGGAAACATGGTTACTGAATACAGGTACTGAAGTCGGATGGTCAGTTCTGGATCACTCTAACTCATCCTGAAGGTATTGGATGAAGCTCCATCATTCAAGAGAATGCAGTTTCACTGCTCCACATCCCAGTACTGGGCTAAATACCCCTCTAGTCCATGCTTGGCATTGGGCATGGTGGCTCACTTGTGGCTTAACAAGAGGCTGAATTCACTAAATTAAGGCCTGTCTGGGCTTTTGGACACTTAGTGTATCATTAACAAGGTTTTCCTTGACCTGAATGAGGTGTATTAGTGCTAAAAAAGGCATGAAACTGTGTAGAACATGACTAGAATTGGGAAGGTCTGTTGTAGAGGTGCTGCTTCCAGAGAACTGGCTTTCTTCCCCATCTAATCCAGCTAATCAGGTTCTTCAGTGACAAATGTTAGCCTTCCTTCTTCCTGGAATTGGCAGCACTATTAGCATACTGCAAAAGCTGGTTATGCACAGCACAAACTGTGTAGGCTCATGTGCGATTGCTTAGGGGTGAAAAATACTTAAGTATTGTACTTTAGTATTCTTTGAATAATTTACTTGAGTGTTAGGCCTTTTTATTTCAAAGGTCATGACATTTCTTCCTTTTTCTCTTACCAATCAGTCAATTTCCTCCACTTTTAAATTACTGTTACTACCTAGCTTCATATCCATATGAAATGAAACTGCCCATATTTCACCATTTCGTTTAAGCCTACTAGTCCTTTTGGGGGACAGGACAAAGGCCCTGCAGTCATCCCTGTCCTGGGTCCTTCTTTCCTGCCCACAACTGTGCTAATTTGTCTTTGTGTAAAGACCAGCAGTACATTAGTCACTGCATCACAAACCATTACAAATAATTCAAGTATATTTAACAATAATTAGATTTTTCTTTTATTTGCTTGGGAATGTTTAGATGTGGATCCCTTCTGACTTTTTGACAGAGTAGTTTGATGTACAATAGTTAATTGTGAAGTAACTTACTTAATTGTTTTCCAAAACAACCAGTGAACCTATGCATGTCTTACTAATTTGAACGTGTATTGCTGAAAATAGTAAAATAGCAGTAAATCTACATGTTTCCTACAACCTACATGTATTTTTCTGTCATGAATGGATTTTAAAAATACATTTTAGTCACAGAATCTTATCTCAAAACTACCATAAAATAACGCCTCAGACACAGCCAGTGTATGTATAACCTTTTCATTTGTAACCAATTTCATGTCACCTCGTTCTGTGAAGGAGCACATTTTACATCAAACCACTCTGAATTACTTTGTTATACCTTTTAATCATGGAGATTTTTTGAAAATCGGTGGGGTTTTCCTTTAAGCAGTGTGTGTGCATTTGAACTGCCTACCGCTGCTCTCTATACAGTGCACTGCATAAATCCTGAAACAGTGGCTTTCAACACACAGTTTATGCATTAAACGTTAGATAGGGAGCTTTGGCTGAATATAAACGGCTTCCTATCAAACACATGCATAAGCTGGAGCTGTTATTTCATAACCTACAGGATGCTCTACGTACTGAGTAGGGAGCCCTTTGAGATTTAGCCCAAAGGAAGCTGCGAGGCCTGATGCATCTTTTGTTTCTACGCCTGTATACATTTTATGGACTCTTTATATGGTTCTGCGTTTGACTTTATCATCTGATTAAGTGTCAATATTTGACTAAACAGAAAAAGGAAAAGGAACAACCAAACGAGAATATATAACTCAAAATAAAAGAAGGAAAACACAATTTCCAGCATAAATGCGCGAGAAGGCGGTCTTTCTGGGATCACTATGATTGGATGATTTTTTGAGTGACCGGAGATTGCACCAATCATAACACACGAGAGCAGCATCACCGTGACGTTTTTCGTTTTCATAACGAGGCGTGGACTATAGTTTTCACTCAGCGAGGACTGAGGCTTTGCAGCGGAGACACGTCGCCATGTCTAAAGAGGTAAAAAGCGATATAAATTACAGAAAATGCTTATTTAGGATATTTTATCGATTTATAATAATTTGGGTTGCTCCTTTCTTGTCAATGTGTGTGTGTGTGTAATGAGTCGTTTTACTGCTGCGCAAATCGCCGTTTGTGTATGTTGTAGCGAGGTCGAGACATAGCTAGGTTAACTGGCTAATGTTAGCTTGCACGGTTTATTGTCTCCTTTTTGGTTGAAAAAGGCGTTAGTCTCACTATTTAGAGTGGAAATTATGTATTTCGCCTATGAGTGTTTTTGTGCATTTGTACGTTTGGATCGATCTTTTTGTCGCATGTGGGTGTGATTCGCCAGCTCGTTGTGCAATTTTTCCGTTCCACCTTAAATGGCGCAGCAGTTCAGTTATGCGGTGGCGCCGACATGTTAAAGCTGCAGCATTTAAGGTGGAACGGACGGACAAGAAGCTGCGTGTGATTTGAGTCGTTTCCGCCATTTTGTATCACGCCACCGAATCCGCGCTTTTGTGAGGCAGGCGGCTGAACACGCTGTTAGCTAACAGTACCATTTTTCTTTTCATTCATAATTTTGTTTCTTTTGTGGATCATTCTTGTTTTTGGCTAACTTGTTTCGTTTCTTCACCCCGTTAATGTGCGTGTTTAAAATGCTACATTTCCTTTGGCAAAATGAGCTTTGCGCTCGTTTGAATGCAACAGTGTAAAAATCTTACAACCATTATTTTTTTTTTTTATTGATGCAATAAATCGTAACACTTGCAGCTCTAAATAGGTAAATTAACCATAGCAAAAAAATCTAAAATAGCGAAGTGAAATACAACGAAACAGACAAGGTAAACAAGTCAATAAACAAACAAAAAAATGTTGCGAAGCTCCAGATATTTGAGGAAAGTATTGCGTTTACTCTTTAGTTTAAATAAATGTAATCAAATGCTCCATTAAAAAAGTCATTTCAAAATGTTTTTATGGATAGTGTTTTGCAGATAAATAAAATGACATCTGCAACCATATGACTAAAGTAGTTTGGTCACGTGGGCCTACTTTCCCCAAAATCGAAACTACCCTATTTCATTGCTTTATATCAATGAGAACATCCTGTGGCATATTTTCTTCATCATGCAAAATCTAGTTGAATGTTTTAGGCCAAGAAACAGTTGATAATGTCAGCAAGCTAACATGATCAGTGGAGATTTATTTAAGTGTATGATCATGTTTTGAAAGAATACAGAATGTAATCTCACAACTGCCTCTTTGTTGCCCCCCCCCACCCCCCGCAGACTCCTCGTGAGCCGGAGCAGCTCCGCAAGCTGTTCATTGGGGGCCTCAGTTTTGAGACCACTGATGAAAGCCTTCGGGCCCATTTTGAACAATGGGGAACCCTCACAGACTGTGTGGTGAGTATGCTAATGTTTTTATTAATAATATAATGGACGCTGTTGGTTCTCTGTACAGTTTTCACACATGCTCGTTGTTAAACAACTAACTTTTAGACAGCTTATCAACAAGGTTAGTGATGTGTTTAGGGTTGGGGATAAAGTAAAGGTTAGACTTGGGTTTAAGGTTGTTTTTTTAATAGAATGTTACATTGAGCTTGCGGATCAGTAGTGTTTAATTGGTATTTAGATAAATGCCCTTTAAGTTTATGTTCAGCACCTTTTTGGCAGTTGCCCAATTATGTTTGCATTTGTATCTTTCTAGTCATCCCTTAAGCATTTCCCTTAGGATAAACAGTGTTTTACACCATGATTTGCTTATTTTTATGTAGCACCTGTAACAAAGTTCAGGGCTTCACAGGGAGATTAAATTATTCAGAACTCAAAGTTTCAAATTTGGTTAAACTTAAAGAACATTTAAAGTAAGAGAGGGAAATGCAGAGAAATGACAAAGCCATTGCCTCAGTAGTTTCAAAAACATTTTGGTCAAAATGGTCACTTAATTCAGTAGGAGACTAGCTGTAATACTGTGTAGGTATAATTCTTACCCTACAACAGTCTGTGCTGGTCTTTAGTCAGTCTACTGCAGCCAGTTGCGCAGGTTTTAAAGTCTTGTTTAATTTGTATGAGATCTTGAGATTCACAATCTTGGTCTTGCAGGTAATGAGGGACTCGAACACCAAAAGGTCAAGAGGATTTGGCTTTGTTACGTACAGCTCGGTTTCCGAAGTCGATGCTGCTATGAACGCTCGTCCGCACAAAGTGGATGGCAGAGCTGTTGAACCTAAGAGAGCCGTGTCACGAGAGGTATACTGTCATTATAAATGCAAATTACTTTTTTATTCATTGACTTTTTTTTATTTTTTTTTTATAAATCTGTTCATGTGTGAACATGTGACTTGAGGTCTCTCTTCTTTATTCCCCTACACCTCTGTTGTCTCAAGAATTTGGATTAACTACAGTTATCTTGTTTTTTTCTGTTTATTTAATAGGACTCCTCCAGACCAGGTGCTCACTCAACTGTTAAGAAGATATTCGTGGGTGGAATCAAGGAAGACACTGATGAAGAGCACTTGCGTGACTACTTCAGTCAGTTTGGCAAAATTGAAGAGGTGAACATCATGACCGAGAAGAACAGTGATAAGAGGAGGGGATTTGCCTTCATCACATTTGACGACCACGATTCCGTGGACAGGATAGTTAGTAAGTGACCATGTGGACGCTGCTTTTTAAGAACAAAAGAATAGGTCAGACATGTTTCTAAACTGTTGTCTTGCTTTACCCCTCCAGTCCAGAAGTACCACACGGTGAACGGTCACAACTGTGAAGTCAGGAAAGCGCTTTCCAGGGAAGAGATGAACAGAATTTCGATGAGCCCAAGAGGTAAGAGAGTGCACTGATGCTGTAAATGTAAAGGATTTTTGGTTCATTGTTAATGTTAAGGAAGGAAAAGATTTGTGTTCTCACACTCTGCTGTGTCTTAGGCGGCCGTGGAGGTGGTGGAAACTTTGGCGGCAGAGGTGGGGGATATGGAGGTATGGTTTCGGGTTACTGATTTGTCTACATTCTGCACTGATTATTCTTTTGTTGGCAAACATTTTCCAATAAACTTGAATTTGTTTTTAATACAGGTGGATATGGAGGAGGCCGTGGAGGATACGGCGGTGGTGATGGATATGGCAATGGCTATGGAGGAGGAAATGGTAAGACTTTAAAAGTCTGAACTTTTTCCTTCCTCAGACTTTTTTTATTTATTTATTTGTTTATTTTTTTTCCCAAGAATTTTTTTCAAGATTTCAGGTTATTAGGTTTTCTGTCTTATGAGTAACATTTTCTTCCCATCATAGGTGGTTATGGTGGAGGTGGTCCTGGTTATGGTGGTAACCGTGGTTATGGAGGTGGTGGCGGCGGTGGTGGCTATGGCAACCAAGGCGGCGGTGGTGGCTATGGTGGGGGAGGATATGACAACTATAACGGTGGCGGAGGAGGAAACTTCGGTGGAGGTGAGTGATCTGTGACTGCTACCAGTTCAGTTGTATTATGGTCTACGGTGGGTGCCCAGGCTGGCTCCTCTGGATCTTCCTTCCTACAAGATAAACACCCCTACAGTGCTTATGCTGTAGTTTCCTTTGGTAGTTTTAAGAAACCCTTATGAAAGGAGCAGTGCAATGGTAATCGTGTTTAAATCTATGATATCTACTGCAGGTAACTTTGGTGGTGGCGGCGGCGGCGGCGGCGGTGGGGGCAACTATAACGACTTTGGCAACTACAACAACCAGTCGTCCTCTAACTATGGCCCAATGAAAGGAGGCAACTATGGCGGAGGTGGCAGGAGTGGCGGTGGCCCCTATGGTGGTGAGTGGATTTGTCTTTATTCCAGTTCCACGGTAGTTATTGTGAACATCGACTGCGTTGATATCGTTGGTGGTAAATTAGTGATTATATTGGGAGAGGGTGTGTTGGTGTCCACTACAGCCAGATATGAGTGAGATATATATATTTTTTTTTCCGTCTTACTTGCATAAATATATTTGATAATTAACTATTCTCATTATATACCACTTGCATATCAAGGTTTCGTTGTGTTATTGTGATCTTTAATGTTCTAAGTTTTGCTTTACCTTTTTAATATGTAGATATTTGTTAATGCTTTGACGATGTAATTTTGTCACATCAATAAAGCAAACTTGTTGCTTTTGCAGGCGGTTATGGCGGCGGTTCCGGTGGTGGCTACGGGGGTGGTTCTGGTGGGAGGAGGTTCTAGACTTCATGGTAAGCTCTGTCCCATGTGGTTGTTGGGTGGGGGTTCTCTTGTTGTCGCCAACAATGCCTGGCTCATCCATGCATTAGACTTAACTACCTGTCAACGTGTCCGTGTATCCTGTAGAACCATGGTTGCCCATACCTGCTTTTGAGTATTGAGTGGGCTGTAAATGTTGTAATTTTGAGTTCTCAGTAAGTATGAGGGGATCCAGCAGCAAACCTTCAACTCTCATCAAGCTAAGACCCAATCTCGCAAGTGGAGAGAAAATTTGAGCCAAGTTTAAACCCCCGTGGCATATGTGAAATCATCATCTTCATTCCCTTTTCCCTGCAGTGTCTCATCTTAGCTGACCTGAAGGTTTGCTTCTGTGCTACTGCTTGTCATTCCCCTGCAGTGTAGCTCTTGATAAAGAAAGGCAAAGAAAGGTGCAAAGTGTAACTGAATGTATGTTCCATATTGTCCAACAGGCCACAGTACTTAGGAGAGGAGAGCCAGAGAGAGATGACAGGGAAAGGAGAGAATGAAGGAAGCAGGTTTACACCTAGATCTGCCCAGCCGAGCGGCGTGGCGGCGATATTAACGTCTGCCACGCGAAGAAAACGTGTATAATAGGGGAGGAAAATCATGTGGGGATGTTGGATGGGACTTGTGTGGGTGGGGTGGTGGGCATGTGAGGTCCAACAATGTTTTGTCAAAAGTACTCTTGTCCTGGAGGACACTTATTAGTTTGTAGCTTTCCCTTGTGTCTGTGAAGTGTAAATCATTCCAATGAGGTTTTAGGCAGGGTTTCATTCCCAGTTTTCTTTTGCAACCGTAGGGTTTTTTTAATGTAAACTGCCATCAATCAAGATTAAATAAACCGCTCTTCAGTTTTTTTTATTTAACTGTGTATTCCTTAGTGCTTTACTTGGTTTCAGTAGTAAGTCTCAGTACTGGCTGTTGCACTGATGATCCATAGTGTTCTTGCACTTGATCGTGAAGTAGTGTTGGGTGGCGTCTCGGCCTATGAATGATTTCAGAAAGCTAAACATTTGGTTTCTGGGCTTCTGAAAAAGATCTTACTGTGCATTTGGATTTAGTGCTAACTTTTAAACATGTTAAAACATTGTTGGCGTAACTTGAGCTGTTTTTAGTTACAGTATGTGTCGCATATTGCCAGTGCTGAGACTTGTAGCTCATCTCTTGAACGAAAACGTTTGCGTTTGGTTCCTCTGAAGACTTAAACATGAGGATTTTAGCTGCACGGAAATGCCAACTGGAGGCAAGCTCGCATTCAGACTATCCAATGAGGTGCCAGAGATTCTAGCCAACGGAAGGAGCCAGCTTAAAGCCTAGCCACAGAGAAGAGATGGCTGATAAGCTGTCCATCGAAGAGAGGCTAGCCATTGGAAAGAGCCAGCTGAGAGGCTAGCTAATGGGAATCGCCAGCTAAGGGAGAGAAGTAGCAAGATCCTCGCTTGGAGCCAGTGAAGCAGGGGACAGCAGTCTTATTGAGAAAGTACTTGCTCATGTAAGACTAGCAAGAGAGCTACCAAAGTGAGGTATTTAACATACCAGACTGGTAGGTAAGAGGCAAATGTGAGTTCTTTTCATGTCATTATTTATGAACATTAGGTAACAGTTTCTCTTTGGCTATTTTCATGGTTGGTCAAATCGTAACTGCTGTTGTCTATTTAAAAATGGTTTATTTAATGGTTAGAGTAGCTGTAATGTATTTGGTGGTGGTGCATGAGACACCTATGACTAAAGACCTGCTTGTGTCTAGCACTGAGAGTAGAACAATTTGAATATTTTCTCCTGGTGTGTTTCCTGAATCGTTCTTCCTTGTTTAACAGATAACCAAATGGATGGATTCGAAATTCCTCAGAAGAGCATGTGCAAACCTGAGCGCACAAGGCTGACTACAATGAGATGGTTAGTGGTCCTTTACCCTATTTATTCACTGATGTACTGTAAAGTCATGAACAACTTTTCATTAGAGGCATTGCTTTTATACACAAAGGATTCAGTTCAATCTAAAGCTTTTTTTAGATTGAACTGGTAACAAGTAACTGCTTTTAGTTCACCAAAGCTAAATACTCGTCACTTTTTAGTGTTTGTGTATTATGAAAAGTCTGATTCTCCAGAATAAGGGGCAGTAGTCTTCTAGTCTTAGTCTCTAAGTCTTAGTTTTTACACAATTCAGTTCTGCTGTGAAATTGAAGAGAAAATCTGCCTCCCAAATGTTAACCATTGCGATTGTAAAATCCATTTTTTAGCTTTCAATAGTTCTCGTACCCGATCTCGGTTCTTTCCTTACCTGCACATCTTGTTTTTCTTCTTTAACAGAACTGACTTAAGCTCATTTAAAAAGCCCTATCTGAATTTAAGTGGGCATGTTGAGGCAGGAAACGGTAGGGGTGGGCCAGGTGTGGTGGTTGATGTGGGGTGTGGGTGTTTTAAAACTTCAGTTGCTTTAAGCCAATTAAGCAAAAGTGAATTTTTGAATTTTAACACTTACAGCATATTTTTTTTTATTTTTTATTTTTTTGCTCTGTTTCAAATAAATAAAAATGAGTTGCCTGTTACAAAAGTTCCACTGATGTTTCAAAATATCTGGGTTGATTTGAATTGGAACTAGGGGTCACCATGTCTACAACCCAAATATAGCCATTTTATTTACTATCCAAAATCACAAGTGAACCTACACATGTCTTCTGAGTTTTATATGGAGTGATAGTAAAAAATACGTATTCATAGAGGGCCATGTTTTCCTGTATGTGCCAGGAATGGATTTAAAGTTTTAGGCTTATTTGGCAACGAGTGAACTATCGTACAACAGTGTCTTAGACATTGCGTTCATAACCATTTAATTTGGTAACTTTTTGTGAGGGAGCTTTTAGAGGTGGACGTCTGGTTCCTATCACCACCACTGTGAACAATTCTGACTCAGTAATCTGAGAGAATTCACCTTTTAATGACAATCAGTTTCATAAGTGCTGCAGCGTCAGTGCACTTACCTTCTCACGTATTTACATCATAAGATTGCAACCCGAAAAAAAAACTGTCCAGTTGCTTGTTTGAGGCAAAACCACCCAATCTGACTGCGCCTCTAGAAAGCGCTGAATTGTGCTGGGCTGAGCTTCCTTGACTTGAGAATCACTTGGGACCCCGGCTGATCTTTTTGTTGGACGTATCGTGCATAAGAGGGCTCTAAATCCTCTCTTGTCGGTTCAGTGTGACTCCTCTCGTGTTTGAATTGCGTTCGCTTGTCCAAAATGGGAGCTATTTCCATTACTGTGTCTCTCCTTTTCCAGACAGCGTTGTCACTTGGATGGTGCAGTTAAGACTGTATTTTTGTTTTCTTTGAGACTTGTCCAAACCATGAAGTATTATTCAAGCAGCTTTTGTCTCTGAATTTGCTGGATGGTTTTAAGCTCCTTTTGTAGTCAGTCCTTTTTGAGGTAGTTGAGTTGTTGGATTGTCAAGAAATTCCATCTCTGATTATTTTCTCTCTTTTCAGGCCATTTCAGGACCAAATGTCTGCTGCTGGATGGTGGTTTTTTAATGGTTTTTAATGTGACTTTTTTTTTTTAATGAAATATTTTTACAATAAAAGTTTTAAATGAGCGCAAGTGTGGCTTGTTTTCTGTATTGCAGTTGCAGGTCCTCATATGACACATTAACTCAAGATAATTTGGTCTCAAATTAAAAAATACTCAAAGAAGGTGAACAGATCCAAAACACTGGGTTGCCTAATTGCATCCTGAAGGCCATGAGCTATTGCGGAATTGGCTTTCGATAATCCATGAATAGGCTTTGCCCTATATTGCGGTCCCTGTGTGGCCTCGGGTCTTTATGGAGAACGGGTGACCTCTATTTCAAAGCCTGCCAGTCTCTAATGGAATGCAAAGAATGGCTATAAATTTAAGGTGGTCAGACAGCTGTTGGGGTAGGCCATGGCAGAATCTGGGTTATGAACATCTCTGGAGGAAATCCAGAATTAATAAATTCTTACTTTTATGGTTTGGCATTTACCTGTTTAAGTAGTGGTATTTATTTTTATGTAAATTCTCTTTTCCAGATTTGATGCTCTTTTGAAGAAAAACTACCATTTTAATGTCAAGCTGTAGGACATTAGCCCACATAACCCTTTCCCCTCCCTTATTTTTGTCATCGGAGGGTTGTGACGACTTATGGGCTCTATAAAATGAAAGATAATGCATTTGTTAACTCATTCTGTATGCTCAGAGCTGATATCTATTGCTCTAAATCTTGACTGTAATAAACGGTGGACGTTAATGCCTTCAGCTGCATTAGCTTATCGTTTCCTTTGAAGAGGGGTGATGCTGTTAGGGAGGCTGGGTCTTGGCATGTGGTTGGAGGTTCCATGGGCAATCCGGAATTGATATAAAGTGAACCATGGGGTGGAAATGATAGTTTAGCATCTTCTGTGGAGTAATTCAGTGTCTTTAGATAAATTATCATTCTGTGTAAGCTCTTAAAAGCCTTCTCTGACTAGAGGGATAAGATAAAGGTCTAGTTGCCAGGGACTTTCTGCAGCTAGTGTTTCACAATGTGGCATAAAAAGAGGATAAAACTCCCTTGGTCAACTTTACAGGGTAGGCATGTACGTAAATTAAAGGAGCGCTGATATGTTTTGGAATTGAAGAGCTTTTTTGACCAAGATTTTGAGCATTAAAAAATGTTTTGTAATTAATGGAACGAAATTGCAAAAGTACATTTCTGAAAAGGCTGTGATGGTCTATGTACTTTACAGATGTTCTTTGGTCACCTACATAAAACATCTTGGCCTGTTAGCTGCCTAAAAACCCTTTAGGGCAAAGTGGAACGTGAAGTTGTAAGTTTAATTTTAGAGCCTAATTTCTGTAATTGAAATTTAGAATTTAGAATTTGAAATTTAACTTGAAGTTCATAATTTTTAAAAATCAAATTTAAATAATTTAAATTGCACATGTTCATTAAAGCAAACAAACCTTATGCACCACAACCCTAGTCCTGTTATCAGGTGTTAAAAAGGTCCACAGAAACTACTTAAGAGAAAGTATGAGTTCTTTGTGCAAGTCTTGATCAATTTAAAGTGGAAGAGCCAAAAAGAGCCTGAAGTCAACAGTGTCTACAATTAAGCGTAATCAGGTAAATAAAAGTAAACATTTGAACAAATTGGTTAAAAGCTTTCTTCATCTAGCAGTGTGTGTGGTTCAAGTTCAAGATGCTTTATTGCCATTCCAGCTGTATACACAGTGTACACAGTGAAACGAAATAACATTCCTCCAGGACCATGGTGCAACAAAAGTGCAAAACAATACATTATACACAGTGCAATAAATACAAAGAGGACACAGGTAGTACACGGCACTGAAAATATGTAGACTGTGCAAAGCAGGATGTAACATACTATGACATATTAGCAGTTAGCCTAGCATGTGACCATAGCAGTCATTGAGGTAGCAACCAGAGCAACAGCAACAGAATACAGTACTTGGTCGGTGCAATATTCCAGTAGCTGATATTGTAAAGAAAATAAAGTACAAAACAAAGGTGCAAAAATGCAAGTAGACAGATATGAAGTGAAATATTTTAGTGTGAAATGCAATAATTTAAACACAGTGTCACAGACATAATCTGGAATTTCAAGAAGTGGAGAGTGAGATGGTCTCATATTATGTATGTGTGCATGTGGGTTCGTATGGGCGTCCGTCAATTCAGTCCGTGGGAATTGAGGAATCTGATGGCTTGTGGAAAGAAACTGTTGCACAGTCTGGCTGTGAGGGCCTGAATGCTGCGATACTTTCTTACGGATGGCAGAAGAGAGAACAGTCCATGGGAGGGGTGTGTGGGGATGACTAATGGACGTGACTGGATCTCTATTCCCACTTTTTTT